AGCAAACTGTGTATTTACATGAACACACCTACTCTGCTTAGCTATCCAGCAGATAGAGTGGTGTTGCTCAAAGTGATCAACTTTGGCTGGTGTTGGGTCACAAATCACTTTAGTGCTGAATGCAGGGGTAGTGAAATGCTGTTATCAATGTCATTGTCTTTATTCTATGAATAAAGGGGAGCAGAACTGTGCTTAACCTATACCAAATGAGGGGGTCACCCTTAGCTGAAAGGACCTTATTAAGCCAGGGGCTCCAATGCCAGACCCCTGTAAAAGTAAGAGGGGAGGGGACAGGTGTCCCAGCCAGAAGGTGTGGACTCTCCCTAAGGGTCCCCGGCCTGGTTTAACCTGTTTCTCTCCACTGTTGTTCAAAGATAGCGCTAAACAGGCTCGATTAGGAGCCTTTGTTATTTTAAGTAGCAAAAGAGTCCTGTGGCACCTTGTAGACTAAGTGGTGACAAAGTGGGTATTCACCCATGAAAGCTTATGCTCCAATACGTCTGTTAGTCTATAAGGTGTCACAGGACTCTTTGCCGATTTTACAGATCCAGACTAACACAGCTACCCCTCTGATACTTTTGTTATTTTAAGTACTTTAATGAGAACTGAAATCACTTGTGGTGGGACAGTGTTTCTGCCCAGCCAGCTAAAAGCTGAAAATAACAGACTGACATGCAGACCTCACAGCAGAGAGACAGGTGGCCGCAGAAGGTAACTGACAGTTGGCGAGCAGGAGTGGCCAGTGGAGATGAACCATTGCTGGCAGGGCGGCCAACCAGAGCAAGTGCTCAGATGGCGGAAGAAGCAAGGTGCATTCTTCCCCAGGTGGGAGGTGAACTCACACAGCTGTACCTCTGAACCCTGGGTCCTCACTGCCAAAGGACAACATCTGTGAGTGGGGTGTGATGAGGGAGCAGCGGGGGGCACGGAAAAGGAACTCTTGGTTGTAGAACTCAAGAACATGAGGCAGAAGACTCTGCCCCACGCACTCTGGGGTGGGCGTCCTGTTCACAGTTTTATGATTATGAATCCTGTTTGTGGCATTTTCCCTAATTAATGTCAGGCGACTTCCCTCCTTTCATTAAAAGTTTCTTTTCTACACTCAGACTCTGTGTTTGCAAGAGGGGAAGGATTGCCTCTCAGAGGCACCCCGGGGCAGTGTGTAATTTTCCCAGGTTACTGGGTCAGGGCTCAAGCCAGTTCTGTGTTGTATTGTTGAAGAGGAACCCCTAGATATTGAACTCGGCCCTGGCAGAAGGGTTACACAGGTTTTACCAATGGTTCCACTGCTGGGCACAAGACCCCTTGTTAACAGGGGTGGAGGCCCTTTGAAAACAGATACTATATAAAATACACAAGGACTAAGCAACTGTAATTAGCCAGTTACCCATACTGCGTTTCTCATGAATTTGCATGGTTAAAGTGTGGTCTCAGGAACTGTTGTAAGTTTATACATTAATCCAAAGAGAGCGTACAGTGAAATCAGTACTTACTGAGAGTAAAATATACATGGTCATATGATAGAGGTCACATGGCCTTTATAGAGTTCAAATGAATGAATTTAATACAGGGGGCCATATCCTTAGCTGGTGTATATCAGTGCAACTCCACTGAAGTCAATGGAGCAATGCTGATTGAGGATCTGGCTCCGGGTGTTAAAATATAACAACAAGACATCAAACCACAATAAATCTAGGATGAAGCTTGTTAGTGACACACAACTACACATAATGGACCAAGGCCCAGATCCTCACCCCATTGAAATCAGTGGCAAAACTTCCCTCGAGTTCAACAGAATCAAGACATGCCATAGGTGCTGGAACTCGGGGTGCGGTCACACCCTGTGGCTTGAAGTGGTTTCCATCATATAGAAGGTTTACAGTTTGGTTCAATGGCTCTCAGCGCCCCCCACTATACAAATTGTTCCAGCACCCTGCATGGCACCATATAACTAAGTTATTTACAAACTTTGTAACTCACACATTTAACTTAGACTACGCAAATGGCCACTTGGCTGAAAAGAAATGTCCGTATAAAAGTTCTTGTTACTTGTCAAATGGAGGTACTGTAGGTCATCAGTGGCCTGTTTTAATGTGAGGTAGTATTCACAGATTTTAACACAAGAAGGGACCACTAGGATAATCTAGTTTGACCTCCTTCCCACTGAAGACCAGTGGACCTCAGCCAGTAGTATTATAAGACTTGTTCTACTAACACTGCTGTCTTTAAAATACTATTAACTCTGCCTTTTATCTATGATAAGTCTTAGTTTGTTACCTGTCCAGACAGTCCTCAGCAGCCAGCCTATGGATCCAGGGTATTGCTCCAAGACTTGTTGGCTATGGGGAAGCAGACTGATGATTAGGCTTATTTATTCCATTCTAATGGGGCGGGAGGTCCATGTTTCGCCATACTCTCTGGACTGTAATTTGATTGGTCAACATTGGTTTTTTGAAAATGGGACCAATCAGAGTAAGAGGTGGTGCTGCCTTTGCACATTCCAATCAGAGAAAACAGGGTCTTGCATTGACAATTCCACAGTTGTAATTGCACACGGTTACTGTCGTTTTAGTACCAGAGCTGATAGATGTCTCAAGACTCTTACACTTAAAGCCTAAGTTCTGCTTTCAAAATTTCAAGGGTTTAGGTAACTGATGTCCACCTACCCCAAACTCCCTTGTTTTGCCATCCATGGCTCTGTGGGCTTTAAAAAGATTTCAGGGTGAAGTAACCTCTTTGATTAACTTTGCACAACCCCAAGTTCCTTCTCAGGTTGAAGTTTCCCGGTCAACAGCTTTATTGCCTTTCAGTAACATCCATTTGAAGTTCTCTGGTCTTAAAGGATCTCTCCTCATCCTCTGACCTGTTTCATGAGGGTCTTTAGTTCCAGAACATCTCTATATGATGCTGTGTTAAACAGCTCACCTTAGCTCTTCCCAACAATAACATTTCACTGCTCTGGTTAAATCACATCTCTCAGAAGGGAATCTCTTCTTTCACAAATTCCCCAGCAGTTCTTTTGCTTCACCCTATATTTCCCTAAAACTCTTTGTTTTGACCCCTCCAGCCTTGGTCTCCCATACTGATTTCACATCCTCCCTCCCCGCCTCCCACTGCTACTCCATCAACCTGTTTTTCTGTTGGCCTAATATGCAAATGGAGTTTCCTTTGTGTTGGTTTTATAGTGCTTAATCTGCATAAGAGACAGGGCAGATAGGGGACTCCATATCTCATTGTTTGGCGAAACTCCAGGACACAGATTCGAAACAGGATTCTAAACAGATTTTCGGTACATACATTCAACTTCTTGCATGACACCTATACATACACTGAACGCTGCTGCTGAGGACCAGCATGACAAACTTTTAGTTGATCCCTTACATGACATTCTTCATAGATAAATACTATGACAGCAACGTGTCAGGTGTAGTAAGTTTGTCAGGCCTGCTGACACAGAGTAGTGAACCACAGTGGCACAGAGAGAAATATAGAGGGAACCAGAAAGAAGGGGCCCTGGCATAGCCATCCATGAGAAGACAGCGTGGGAAGGAGTCCACTGGCTGGGGAATACACTGCGTGTAGGAGATGGGAGTTCCTATTCCCTCTCCCCCAGTCCCGTAATGCACGTTTGCCGTCGCTCACCATCCATCTCCATGCTCCTCTCTCCACGCGTGGTGGCCTTTGCATTCAGTGTGCAATGGGGTGTGCTGTATCTATCTGAGCCAATAAATGCAGGTGTTAATTTGCTCCTGCTCAGTTAGCCTGAAGCACGGATGGAGCTGCCGCGCCTGTGTGAGTGAGAGTCTGGCCCTTCCGAAAATGCAAGATGAGTGGCCATGGCCTTGACTAGACCCCCCACCTCCCAAGGTCCGTCAGGCCTTTTGTGGTCACTGACACCCTCTTTTGCACTAAAGGATCCCATCCCAAACCTTTCTATCCACCTGAACTGCCAATTACTCCCATGCAGGCATCTGAAAAATCCTGGCCATAATCCGTGCCTCAGTTTCCCCTTCTTTAATTGGGGATAATGCTACTGAAAGGTGTTTTGAGATCTCGGTCTGGAAAGAGCTAGAGCAGTGCCAAGTTCTTTAATACCTAATTAAATGAATAGTTACTGCAGTGCAAGAGGTAATTTCTACCAGTTCCCCCGGTCTTCTCTCCTGGGACAGTGGATGACTGTGGGTTACGAGTGACTCAGTGCCAGTCTCACTGGGGTGTAGGCCACAGATCCCAGGAGCCTGATTCTCCTTTCGCTTACTGCCGTTTGATAGCAGGGTAACCGCACCAGCACTGATCCCCCCAACAGCCCTGCAGTTTGTGGCCACTGAATCTAACCACCAGAATTCTCCTCTTTTCCAATGATCTGGCAGAAAACCCAGTCTCTCCTCAGGTGAGTTGTTATGCTACTCTTCCATCTCACATGCTTTTTAATACTAAGCAACCTTCCCCCACCTCACCTAACCCACATACTCTAAATCTTTCAAGACCTGGCTAATACAAAGCTGCATGGTGGGGCACATATGCCTCTCTGGAGAAGTTTGTGAATTGTATTGAAACGAGGCATGAAACCACATGGCATCAGAGCAGCTGAGATTGGAAGTTTCAACTAGGAGGATGACACTGTCCAGCATTGCAAAAGGGGAACATATATGTAAATAAAGAAAGCAACTAAGGGACCTAATTTTACTGTTTTTACTGCAGTGGGATAAATTCTCCTACCATTTACCTGTATGTAAATACAAAATACTTCATCTCATTTACTCCAGATTTACCCTGGTGTAACAGAGGACAATTTGGCACAGTGTATCTCCACTGACTTCCAGGGAGTTACTCCTGATTTATAACATAATTAAACCAGAGCAGAATCAGGCTCATTAAGTCCCTAATTCATGACATGGTTGAAGGTGGATCATGCTGGCTATTCACAAACAGTTCTTGAGATTTCTACTCTGTCAAAAGCAGTAACGAAGTCGTGAAATCATTCCATTCACCAATCCAGGTCAGGCACATGACGGCTTTGTTTTTTTATTTCAATTTTTAAAAAAAAAATACAACAAAAAATATTGCTACATATAAATGGGATCAAAGTTATAAAATGATCCAAGCACAAACATTACGAAAATACATTAAGCAGTCCATGCAAAATTTTATATCTATAAATGTGTATATGTAATAAACAGACATTATAATAAAACAATCACATTTTGTTGCTTTTACCTTGTGCAAATAAAGAGTATGTTGATATGGCAGGTAAAGAATCTGTGCAACTTTTTAACACGTGGGCTTCTCATCCGCACAGTGCCTCTTTCTATAGAAGCGATAACCCTTCTTGTAGCTGCTTAAGTGTTTCTTCAAGCAGAGCACAAAGTCACCGTCACACTGGCAGCTCTCTCTTTTGCACTGGCTCCCCATGCCTGCCGACAAACAGTAACAGGATGGGTGTTTGAGAGGAGAAGAAGAGAGGCTACCAACGGTGATGGGGCCATATAAGAGTATGTCTACACTGTAATCCCAGTATGTGACATACCCAAACAAGCTTTAATCTAGCTATTGGGATCCTGAAGAAGTGAAACCATAGCAGTGTCATTTCAGCATGGACCAACCCAAGAAACCTAATGACTTGCAGGGCAGCCTGCACTGAAGCGGACACTGCTGTGACTTCACTGTTATCACTCCCAGAGCTAGCGAGATAACTGCTACCTCAGGTATGTCTACATGAGCTGCAATCTCACCCTGTGATTGCAGTGTAGTCATACCCCAAGATAGCACATGCTAACACCTAGGAGCTGGTCTACAATGTGAAACGCCATCGTGTTATAACTTGGCCCTGTGGCAGGATGGTAATGGATGCAGCGATGGCAAAGTACTCACCATAGACAGGGACCATCGGCTTTAACCTCATGTCAATTACCTTGATTCCACAGGGGTGCACTCTAACGCAATGGAATTTCCCAGTTAGACAAGTCCCTAGGGAGTAGAACCTCAGCCCAGCATCCAGCTTCCTAGTTTAGTGGATTGAGTCGCATGCACAGGGATGTGACTGATAAAGCAGCAAACTATCATGACACGCAGACGTAGCTCCACTTCCAGAACACAGGCAAGACAGCTGTGTTCAAACCTTCAACCAGCCGGTTTCCTCCACATTGTGAAAACCAAGTTCTGTCTCTAAATTGCCTGGCCTCTGGTTGTTACCCATTTTATTATTGTGTGTTTGTATTATGGTAACAGGACTCTCCTTTGATCCCATATTCTGTTCTGGGGGTTAAGAAAGTGCCTAGCCCCACAGCCTACTTGCCCATTCCACATAAAGGAAGCCCATTAGAATGTCAGTGTTCTCTCAAACTCAACCTGTATGGCAAAGAAAACCCATGGCAGCAAGCCTTGGAGCCTGGATCTACAGCCTTGGGCTTGTGAGGCTTGTACTATGCACTAAAAGTAGCCACGTAGATATTCAGGCTCAGGCTGGAGCTTGGTCCCTGAAGCCTGGAATCGGGGTGGGTTTCAGAACCCAAGCCCAAACACTTATTTTTAGCATTGTAGCACGGGCCCAAGTCTGTAGCCTTGGGTTCTGAGGCTCGCTGCAGCAGGCTTTATAACGCAGCACAGACACACCCAAAGGGAGTAGCATCTGTTGTAGTCAGTAATCCCTTGTGCAAGTTCCCATCTCTGATAGTGATTCAGTAAAATTACTGAGTCAGATTCAGGTGAGTGTGTAAGTTACATGTTAGTAAGTGGGCATGAATCTAAACGAGTGTCAGGGAATCCCAGATGGCATAACACACATTGAAAGGCCTTGAAGATCTAAATTACACTAGCTTATGCTTCTTATAGAAGAAGCGGGGCATGATTCACTGCTGCATCACTCCAATTAGACTCTGCTCTGAATTCGTCCCATTGATTTCTCCTCTCTCCACCCTTTTCGTAGTGGGAAGCAAATGAATTTTCTATTGGTTTTCCCCCTCTTCTGCCTCTTTCCTGTTGTTGGGATTCTGAGCTTGGGGTCTGGCTGGGCTTTCACTCTCAACCTTGCCCACTGGTTTTGAGAACTCCTAGCTGAGAGCAGAGGCTAAGATGACACATCTCCTTGTAATCAGTGCAGCCTATGGTCAGGGGGGAAAAAATCACTATTCAGGATAGCTTATAAGCATGTTTAGGTGTTTGCTTGATTCGGGGCCTGCATCCCCAGGTTCAGCCAGCCAGCGACTCTGGTTCTCTTGTCCTGTTCCTTATGTATAAGAACAAAAGCTCTGGTGGACTGGGCTCGGGATACAAATTTTAAAAGTCAAGTAGCAAAGCAATTTTCTGATTTAGGAGAAGAAACAAAACCGAATCCCCATCTTTCTGTCCAGGAGCCAACTCACCGCAGTAGATCTTTCCATTCAGGTAGACGTAGCTGTATGAATTAAATTTGGCATTACAGCCATGATCATTGAGCCTCTCATAGCAGCAGTCATGCAAGTAACAGCACCTTGGGGAGAAGAAAGAACTCAGCAAAGAGACACATACACATAGGTTTAAAACACGAGCAAAAAAAAAATACCCATTGACACTTTTCCAGTGCACGTAAAAGAGAGACATGTTTTGACACTATGGGCCAGACTGTCTTCTTACACTGGTGTAAATCAGGAGTAATACTACTGAAGTTAAAAGGTTTAGACTCTCAGTTTGTTTCCCATCTATATATGTTACACGTTGGGTGGAGGGGCGCGGGTTATTACACGAAGCACCCTGGAGAAAGCACAGATATCAAGTTTCCTTTCTTTATTGTTCTTCAGACAGGCCACTGAGCAGATTTCAAGCTTCTTCTCTGATCTCCTACACAGGATGCTCTTGCGTTAGGAAGGTCTGGCAGGAACAGCCAGTGGTCAGCTCAAGGGACTCTGACCTCAGCATGTAAAATAACTTTCACAGAGACAAGGGGGCAGTCATAGCCTGATTTCCCCTAAAGCTCATGGCCTTTTCTTAATTCTTTATTCCATGGTGGGGGATGAAAACGGTGCCCCATGCTCTGCTCTCCCTAAATCCACCGAGGGTGGAAGCCCCATTGCTTGAGATATTTAAAACTACACGGGATGGTGTGCAAATAAATGTAAAAGAGGGAACAGCTATGCACGGGGCCTTAGAGCGTACCTATGTGATCTAATAGGCCTTTTCCATCGGTACACTTCTTAGGGGCTTTATTGTGCCATTCATCCTTAAACATAAATATCTGAAACCAATGAGGAGCGCCTCTTAAAAAACCCAGTGGCATGGTATGGTTCTGATTTCTTATTTCTTTGATCCCAGAGGGGAAATAATGCTCTTGCATTTAAGCCCAAAGGAAGGTGGTAGCCTTCCTCCTAACTCCAACACATTGGAGCACCCCATTCTAGGAAATATGGGCAGGTAGATTCAGCTATCTTCCTTGGTAGCTGCTGGAAGAACCCCTCTTTATAGGGTGACCAGACAGCAAATGTGAAAAATCAGGACAGGGGGTGGAGGGTAATAGGAGCCTTTATAAGAAAAAGACCCCAAAATCAGGACTGTCCCTATAAAATCAGGACATCTGGTCACCCTCTCTCTTTATGAATCCTGACTCCTTAACTCAAATCCACCTTTCTTTTGAAAAAGGATTGGGTGTTTACTGACATACTTCCAGCAACTTCAAGAGAGCCATGCCAGTTTACACAAGCTGAGTATCTGGCTAATTGGCCTTACTTGATGGAGAGCATCTTGGGTAAATACAGACTTGGGGTAAAATTTTCAGATGTGCTTAAGTGACTCAGGAGCCTATGTTCTATTTTCAAAAGTGAGTTCGGCCCCGAGGGCCAGATTTTCTAAAGTATTTAGGTGCCTAAAGAAGGAGATAGGCACTTCTGAAAATCCCACTAGATACGCATGTGCTTAAATCCTATTGATTTCAATGGAAGTTAGGGACCAAGGCGCTTTTGAAAATTCCACTAGGTGTGCATCTGCAGGAACATAAATGCCTTTGAAAATCTGGCCTTTAGGCCCTTTTGCAAGTGTTATCCCAACTGATGTTCCTGGCAGGCTTTTTAAGACAGCAACTTACTGATCAGTGCCATCCTTTGGCGTCCCTTTACCGCCCAATCCGCAGTGGCAGCCGTAGCTGTAATAATTCCAAAAGGCAGATTTCGTAGTGACTTGCTTAATCATCTTTTGAAGCTCCCAGAAACTCCCTTGTGTCATAACTGCACCTGGAAAACAGCCAAAGGGTATCCAGCACTGGGAGAGGAGGTATTCCCAAAAAGAAATGACACTTATTCCTGTGCCTTTATTAAGCTGCTGTGTGAGATCATCAGGTAGGGTGACCGGATGCCCCAATTTTATAGGACAGTCCCGATGTTCGGGGCTTTGTCTTATAAAGGTGCCTATTACCCCCTACCCCATCCCAATTTTTCTGGTCACCAGTGCATCAGTCCTGATTCTCCTCACATCTAAAACTGGTTTTAGATTCATATTACACAACTGGGCCCCACCCCATCTCTTCCAGTGTAAATGTGGAGGCGCTCCATTGTCTTCAATGGTCTGTACTGCACAAACCGTTTCAGCATCGTGGGAAAGTCTGGACTGGCAGAACGGCCGCAATCCACATGCTTGGGTCTCGGTTGGAGACTAATCAGATGGTCAGTGGGCTCCTGACACTATAACTCAAATTCCATTCTGTACTTTACAGCTACTCGCGATCATCCCAGAGACTAGCGCAGCATTAGGATAGTCCTGCAGAGGCAGGCAGACCCCTGGGCCCTGGGAGTAGTATGTTGGTAACAACTGTGTCACAAGCAGGGCGGGCTCCCAGCACCAGCGTTCCAGGCAGGTGCTTGGGGCAGCAGTTAGAATGGGGTGGCGGCAATTCGGCAGCAGCTCATCGGTCCCGCCAGCGGCAATTCGGCGGCAGCTTCTCCCTTTTGCCATCTGCTGTGGCAGCTTTTTTCCCCCACCGCTTGGGGCGGCAAAAACCGTAGCGCCGGCCCTGGTAATCAGAACAGGACACGTGCAGAAGAGCCTTGCAGGAACAATTCAGATCCTCAAGCTTGTCCTGGAAATCCTAGCTGCATAAGGTCTTGCATATCATGCCATTGAGTCAGTAGAAGGCAAAAAGCACGTTAGTTGGCAGGGGGCACATCTAGGAACACCCATGGAAGGGATGGACCCTGTGTTGGGGAAGATACTGATGGTAGCACGGCTACTCACATGGCAGTACCATGAATAAGGGGGTGTGGTGCATGGGAAGGTGCAGCGAACGTTCTCAGGCCTCTCCTATGTACAGATGCTCTCTGAGTGGTTAGGCAGCTACTGGCGGGGCCATATTACAGCTGGTTTTAAGAAGTGGGGGTGGGGGAATCAAATGTCCTCCCTTTTCATTTTAAAAAAAAAATTGGACTTTTGGCGTTTTCCCAAACTTCAGAATGGTTCCGGCTTTTAAAACATTCCAACCAGCGCTATAGGTGGTTTAAAAACACCCCTCCCCCACCACGGGTGACAATAATGCAGAAGTTTCATTACTATTTTCCCCAATTTGGCCTCAAATTTCAAAATTTGAAATGTTTCGGCCAACTCTGCTTTCTCGCTCATCCTCCTGACGTGCAGGTTTTTGCTGACACAGAGTTAATCCTGCTCACGGCAGCCCCAACTTGTGATCTATTTTCTGCAGTAACTTATATTAGGGAGCCCTAGGACTTTTGCACTGACTTCTCCCACAACTGGTTGAGGCCACACCCCCATTTACGGACTTTGTAGCTCTCTTGTGGATCTTCTCCATGGACCCAGTTGGGTGTTCCCTTGCTTGACATGGCAGCCAGACTCACGGATTTTAGCTTGTGGTCAAATTCTCCCTGCATTTACACGGGTGCCACCCAATTGATTTTAAATGGCCTTGTACTGATGCAATGGGAAAGAGAAGTAGATCCAGATGTGCAGAATTTGGAGACTGGTTTTGTAGCAAGTTTTCAGCCCACGGGCCAAGCCACTATTCCCCTCCTCTCCCTCCCCCCAAAATTAATTGGAAAAAGTTAGCGAATTAGTGGGCCTGGTTATGAATTAGTGATTCATTGGTTTAATGCTGCTATAATCCTATTGACATCAGTAGATTTACACCTGTAAGTGAGATCAGTGAATGTATTCCACTTACCATAAGCAAGTAGCATAGCAAATACTAAGAGATTCTTCATCTTCATGCAGAGCCTGGAAGAAGAAACCCAAAACACCCTGATTTTCCATTCAGGCAAAGAACTCAAGGACACATATTAACATCCAGGTATGGGCAGCCTGCATAGGTCATTGCCTAGAAAGCAGCTGAGAAGAGAACAGAAGCAAAGGGTTTCAACTGTTTGAATTAATGGAGCATGAGACCCCTGGTCACAAAGAGCAGAGATTATACTGGGAAGTGGAGATTTAGCTTCAAAGCATAAATGAGGATGGGTGAAATCCAACCATATGGAGCAGGACCTACATTGCAGCTGGGAGTGATCCTTCCAGCCTGCGTAGACAGGCTTGTGCCAGCATGCTAACAAGATCAGTGCAGATGTTGCATTTTGGGCTCAGGCCCACCCAGCCACCTGGCCCTGAGCTCGGGTGGTTATCCCAAGTCTCCACCAGAGCCTCATCATCCACACTGCGAGTTTTAAGCATGCAAACTCGAGTCCTGCTTGTGCGAGTCTATCTGTGCTGGTGGCAGGCTTGGCCCTAGTGACAGTGTAGACACATTGCAGGAAGCCAATACACCACTGAAGTCCTCCCTGGTCTTAAGCGGTGCATGGACATCTTGTAGGCTCTCTGCACGGGGCTGAATTTCATCCAGTGATTCTAATATTGTGAAGACTTTCTATATTCTCCCCGTTCCGGTCACTGTGCATGGTTGTATTGGCCGGTAGGAAGCCAACACCGGAGCAAAGAGACTGATGCCCCTTTAGGATGCTGACACAATTCACCCTGCTTCACGCACACTGGGACTAGTGACTCCAGTGGGATTTCACTTGCAGCATGAGCGAGGACATTCATTTACTTCCCTCGGTGGAGGGATCCTATTTACTGCCGGTGCCTTTTCTCTTCCTTTCTCCCGCATGCAGCTTTTGTTTCATCCTGGGGCACAAAACACTTCACAGATCCAAGGACTAGGAGAGCGAAGGCTCAATCAGTCACAGGCTGCAAATGTTCACAACAGACCCTGCCAGCGTAAAAGCATTGTCAGCTCCTCTACAGACGAAAGATCCCCAGCCACACCGTATTGGTTTGTGGATTGAATGGGAGAAATTGAAAAGGAACGGGGAGGGCAGGAAAGCAAGGGACAGAGGGCACTGAAAGAAAAGGCAGGTGTGGGTCACTATCATCTGGATCTCATTCACTAAATCAATTCCTTGCCCTGCAGGAGCCTGGGCCATTGGTGCATTTCAGTCCCTCCTGCTATCTGCCTGTGACACATAATAGTTTAGTCTCCTAAGAGCTGTTTTACTTTTGTCCAGTTCTAGTTGTTGGGCGTGGTGTGGGGGAAGCTGGGTGGGGTTTAGTGGCCTCTGCTGCACATGACCTGGTAGTTCTCTTCTGGCCTGAAGCTCTATGAGAGAAGTCGCTGCCATCCCACAATGACCTGGCACCTTGTACCCAGCTTTGCTTAAAGAACAGTGTGGCACCGTGCCACATGGCTTGCTACAGTTCAGAAACCCTTACCTGCAAACAAGAGGCTAGGAACTACTGCTCAGGAATAATAGGGGATCATCAGGGAGACTTCTTGCCCTAGATCTCTCTCTTCTGCTCTGCCTTTGCGCAGGAAAAGGGCAATGTTCATACCTCACTTTTGCACCTTCTCCACTCTGTTGTTTACAGCCAGGACCAGGGCTGTAACCACGGAAGGGGGGAAGCCAGTGTGCAAAGCCAGGGGGGCAGAAAAATGGGGCAGCATGCATCCCCCCACAGATTTCTGCCTTCCATTTAGCACAGAGGTTTTTGAACTGTGGGGCACATCCTCCTAAGAGAGGGTGCACCCGACGATCTGAAAACCATCGCCTTCTGCCAGGAGCTGGTGGATTGGAAGCTGGTAGGAGCTTCCCGGCTCACTCGGGCCCCTGGTTCTCCACACTATGGGAACCTGGCTGCTGTCTGTCTGTCTGGCAGTCCTCCCTGCCCTGCTCCCCAAGCCGGGCTGCCTCTGCACAGCTCCGAGCTGTGCCCTGATGCGCTCTTGCCTCTCCCCTGAAGGAGCCCGGCACCAGCCAGCGAGGATCCCTGGAGCCGGCTTCTGCCCTCGGAGCCCAGCTGCCAGGAGAGACTCCCCGAGGTGCTCACTCACCACTGCCCTGATGCTCCTGGCTCTGCCGCTGCTCCTCAGCCCAGAGGAGACGTGGGACTTAGTTACGTGCCCCCTGACAACCTGGTAGTAATGCTCACTGTGGATCCCAAGGGGAGTTTCCAGGTACACACCCAGCAAGTGCATTCACTGGAATGGGAGCCCTGCTAACCAATTAATCCCACACTTTTGTCCATTTCCACATGCTGGATACATCAGATCAGATGCATTCCGAGTGTAATCCCCACTGAACTTCAGCAGGGCTGCATCAGGGATGGATCTGGATCTGTGCCAATCTCCAACACAGCCTCTTGGACGTTTTAATTGTTGGACACAGTAACAATTAAAATATCGGTGATTGGTCTCTACTCACTGTTTCTGGGCTTGGGAAAGTCTCTGTAGCTCAGGGTGACTCCTGATCTCGGATAGTGACAGATTTACCTTATATAGACGGTCTGTCCCTCCCTTTTGGGAACTCAGTGACCACATCAATGCTGACCTCGTTATCTAATATTGAAGCTTCAAAAAACTTCTGTTGTGTGGCTTCTCTGTCCAACAAGGTTTCTAGTCTTCTCCATTTCAAGGCACAAAGGGTGTTTCCCATGCAGGGCTAGGTCACTGCGGAGGCCGTGCTGCAAACAGATTGTAGATAATGAGTAATCAGACATCATGGATGATCACATACATAATTCTGAGTTCATCTAAAGCCTAAACCAACACCAACTGATGTCAGAGTCTGGCCATTGGCTTGAAAGGCAGTTGTACCAGACCCCTGAAGGGTAGATAACGAATAACCATCTTGCTAGTAACGTTAGACTCCTCTTGCTGCCCCAGTTCCCTTACCCATCCCTAAATCATGTGACACTTGTGCAGTGCGATACAGTGTTTTCAGAAAGGAGAGTGGTATAATTCCTTCCTGATTCTTGTTTTTATCAGTTTATGCCCTGAAGCATGAAGTTAGATTTCTCTCTTATCCCCTTGGCTTGCTAGAGGTAGTGACCATGCAATCATCTAGCGTGCCTGTATATTTCACAGCCAACATCTGTTGACTTTGACAGAAGGTTGTTAAGCTGTTCCCCACTGCATTGGCAATCTGATGGATAAACAGTAAGACACGGAAGAGTCTAAAGACCCTCCGAGGCATGAACAGGCCAGGTATTTTAAGTGAGTACAAGTAATGAGGCATAAAGGTCAAAACTGGTTAGAAGAAAAATAAAGATAAAGTGCTCACTAATATCTACCTAAGAAGCTATCTTAGTTGCAAAGCAAACTGTCTCATGACATACTCCAGCAAATCACCGACCAAACTCTTAGGTCAGGAACCCTCCCCCAGAGTCTAACACCCGTTTCCCTTTGTCTTCTCAGGTGCAGAGGATGATGTGGGCAGGAGGAGACAGACAGACAGAGGGGCCTTGGGTGTTTCTCCCTCCTTTCCAAAGTTTCAGTTTCCTTTTTGAAAAGGATTTCTAGCTCAGACCCAGGAGACAACAAGCCTATGGGAAAGGAAATTCCCTGCTGGCTTTTTTTCACCCATTTGAACTTCCTTTGTTTTCCTTCTCTGCTGGATGACTACATTTACTGCTTAAATGCAAATTTAGGCAAGCCCACATTCCTTCCTTTGTCTAGGACAGACCTGTCTGCTGCCTGGGCAGGGCTGTGGGCTTTGGAACATGTGTTCATAACATCACACCGCGGAATCTTATAACTTCGTATACGATGTGGCCAGTGCCAGGCATATTTTGCTGGTCATTGTCATCTGGTAAATTAGGAGTTTTCAAATGATACCTCCTGAGGCATAGGTTGTACACAGGTGAGTATGACTGTGTGTAGGATGTGAATACAGAGATAGAGTCTGTCACAGTAGCCTCTCTCGTGTTCTCCCTAGGATCTGCAGCCTGAAATTTGAGCTTCAGAAGAATTCACTTTGTGCAGCAACTAGTAACAAGCCCCCCTCCATCTGTGTCCACTGCGGAAACCTTCTCAGCTTTCTCCCTCTCTCACCAAAGCATCTAGTCCTCCATCTGCTGCTAACAAACACCTCAACATCACGTTCCCTTCCTGATGGAAATGATGAGGCACCCCAACCAGTGGAGAAACCCTTCTTTCTCTATATACTTATTATTCATCATCCCTAGCAACTCGAAGCCCCAGTTGAGATCAGTGCCCAGCACCAGGCCTGCCGACAGAAGTTCCAGGCCCCAGGGCAGAACAGTCAACGGGCCCCCTAGAAAGCATGGAACAGGCCCAGAGGAGGTAGTTAGCCTCTTCTATACCAGGGTGAGGGCTTGTCCCTTCACACAGGCCCACTGCCAGCTGCTGGGCTAAACTCTCAATGGCTGGTGGCAGAACATCCTCCTTTGGGGCCTGGGACTGGCACTCTGACAGGGTTTTGGTGGAAAACTGAGAAAACAAGTTCCTTATGTTGCTGGAGACAGCTATATTTAATCCCCATCTCACGGTCACCGATATAAATCAGGAGTGACTCCACCTAAATCCATTGAGTTACACTGATATGAATGAGATCAGAATTAGGCCCATTGTGGCAGATTCTCCACCCTTCCTGAGCTCCACTTGTATGAAGTGTAGAAAGGGGGTTCCAGGCAGCTGGTACAGCTGTCTGACCCTCAGCCACCTAGCCTTAGCACAAGCTAGAGCTGCACAGGAGCAGTTCTAATTTATAGCAGAAAATGGCGTGTAACAGAGCTAAACTCTTCCATGCCGCCTCTGCTCCCTATTCCTAAACTCTTCCATGCCGCCTCTGCTCCCTATTCCACCCACCCCACTCCCATAACATGCACCCCTCCTGCCCTTTCACCCGTGTGAGCGGGATACCTCTACAGGAGACAGCAGAGCCACCCCTGGCAGAGAGTTCTCCACTGGCCACGTCTGGTGGCTTTAAAGCCACTTTATGCCACTTACACGGAGCAAAGTGGTCTTAGTGGACTGGAGAATCTGGCCCAGTGAGTTTAATTTATAGTGACATTGCACCAACATGGCCAGTTGGCAATCAGAAGGAAATGCCAGAAAATGATTTTTGTTTGGGTGAGTTGAACACCAGGAAGGGGGCTGCGATAGGGCACATGCAAGAAAAGTACCTAAGTATCCAGCGAACGTTTTCAGCAGGGAGATGCAAACGCACTGGATGACCGACATAGTTCACCTTCAGCGCCATGGGAGCCAGCCTAAAAATAAGGTGAATGCGTTATTTCAATACTAGTGCACCTGTTAAAAGGACAGCAACTCTGCACCACCCGAACGTTGGGAACTTTGGATCTGATTCAACAAATCTCTACTCTTGTTTAACGTCGTTAGCCCTCCTTTCCCTTCCATCCTGTATGAGTGCATGCGCACAAATGCAGAGTACACGCACGCTCTCGCTAGCTCTTCAGGATTATTTTAATAAAGCAAGCCCAAGCAAAAATATGTATATTAGATCTGAGATGTGGTTGCCAACCAGAAGAATTAGCTAAAGAGACGCTTAGAACCCTTAAGTCTTGCAGACTCTTTAGATTCTCTAAAAAAGAAAAGGAGGACTTGTGGCACCTTAGAGACTAACCCATTTATTTGAGCATAAGCTTTCGTGAGCTACAGCTCACTTGAGCTGTAGCTCACGAAAGCTTATGCTCAAATAAATGGGTTAGTCTCTAAGGTGCCACAAGTCCTCCTTTTCTTTTTGCGAATACAGACTAACACGGCTGTTACTCTAAAACCTTTAGATTCTCTGATCATCAGCCCAAATCTCCACTATTTTGGAGAGGGATAGTCTCCCATTTGCTACTACATTAGGAGTCTGGATTGTCCTCTTGCTTGCATCGATTTTACAGGTCTGAAACTCCATTGACTTTGACGGATTTACTCATTTTCAATGCCAACAGCAGTAAGAGAAGAATCAGGCCCTACATCGCACCATATGCTGCTTCTCCCAATCGTTCAGCATGTGGCAGGACTGAGTGAACTGACACCGTCTTACAATGGCAAATGCTTTTCTAAACTAGTTCATAATCTAATCAAATCACCAGGTTTAAATGAAACACGTCCACGGCTGCTTTATCTAAAAGAAAACATACCTGTGTAAATAAGGGGGCGTTTTGCTCAGTACAGTACAAATTAGCAAGTGGGTCACTGGTGCCCAGCAAGCAGCTGGCTGTGCTGCTGGACGCAGTCTTCCAGCATGGCCAGGGCTCCCACATGCCCGCCTGGCTGCCTTCGCCACTGCCAGTACCACCCCGCGTGCACCTAGGAGCCCTGCGGCCTGCCCCGGCAATTTAAAAGGGACTGGGCCCCTGGGCAATTGCCCCCTTGGTCCCCCTCTGTTGGCGGTCCTGCCTAGCAAAAAGGCCTAAACAGACAGTAATGGACAGTCCTTGCCCCCAAAAGCTTATAGTCTAAACCCGCAGGGATTAAGTGAGGCTTATATAGGTCACTTGCTTTGTGGTGATGCTATGCATTCACCTCCCGTGACTAAATACTTGTTTTTATGTATCCCTGTACAGGTAAGAGCTGCTCTCTGTAGACCTTTAGGCTGAAATCTTTACTCATCAGACACAGGAACTATCAGCGGAAGCCTTCTGCTCAGATAAGTCACACACAGCTGTAGTCTTGGGTAACGGGACTCAAACGGCTGAGCAGGCAAAGGCGTGTGATTTGTGGTATTATCTGGCAAGGAAAAGACTTCCCATTCTCTGTGTGGTTCCAGCCAGGCAGGGCGGTTCCCAGATTTACCGAAATCGTTGCTAGAACTCCGTAGCAGGTATGCTGGGCTTCAGGAGTTCCCCCTGCCCTAATCAGAAGTGCAGACTTCCCTTTTACTGTACTGGACGGGAAACTAAAGGCAGACAAAATTAAATAGTGGAAAGCACCCTACGCCCTAGAGCAATGTAGTTATACTGATGAAAGTTTTGGTGTGGACATGGCCACAGTATGAATCCCAGAATATCAGGGTTGGAAGGGACTTCAGGTCATCTAGTCCAACCCCCTGCTCAAAGCAGGACCAATCCCCAACTAAATCATCCCAGCCAGGGCTTTGTCAAGCCTGACCTTAAAAACCTCTCAGGAAGGAGATTCCACCACCTCCCAAGGCAACGCATTCCAGTGTTTCACCACCCTCCTAGTGAAAAAGTTTTTCCTACTATCCAACCTAAACCTCCCCCACTGCAACTTGAGACCATTACTCCTTGTTCTGTCATCTGCTACCACTGAGAACAGTCTAGATCCATCCTCTTTGGAACCCCCTTTCAGGTAGTTGAAAGCAGCTATCAAATCCCACCTCATTCTTTTCTTCCGTAGACTAAACAATCCCTGTTCCCCCAGTTTCTCCTTATAAGTCATGTGTTCCCATCCCCTAATCATTTTTGTTGCCCTCCGCTGGACGTTTTCCAATTTTTCCACATCCTTCTTGTAGTGTGGGGCCCAAAACTGGACACAGTACCCAGATGAGGCCTCACCAATGTCCAATAGAAGGGAACGATCACGTTCCTCGATCTGCTGGCAATGCCCCTACTTATACATCCCAAAATGCCATTGGCCTTCTTGGCAACAAGGGCACACTGTTGACTCATATCCAGCTTCTCGTCCACTATAACTCCTAGGTCTTTTTTCTGCTGAGCCATTCGGTCCCTAGTCTGTAGTGGTGCATGGGATTCTTCCGTCCTAAGTGCAGGACTCTGCACTTGTCCTTGTTGAACCTCATCAGATTTCTTTTGGCCCAATCCTCTAATTTGTCTAGGGCCCTCTGTATCCTATCCCTACCCTCCAGCATATCTACCTCTCCCCCCAGTTTAGTGTCATCTGCAAACTTGCTGAGGGTGCAATCCACACCATCCTCCATATCATTTATGAAGATACTGAACAAAACCGGCCCGAGGACCGACCCTTGGGGCACTCCACTTGATACCGGCTGCCAACTGGACATGGAGCCATTCATCACTACCGTTGAGCCTGACAATCTAGCCAACTTTCTATCCACCCTATAGTCCATTCATCCAGCCCATTCTTCTTTAACTTGCTGGCAAGAATACTGTGGGAGACTGTGTCAAAAGCTCTGCTAAAGTCAAGGAACAACACGTCCACTGCTTTCCTCTCATCCACAGAGCCAGTTATCTCGTCATAGAAGGCAATTAGATTAGTCAGGCATGACTTGCCCTTGGTGAATCCATGCTGACTGTTCCTGATCACTTTCCTCTCATGCAAGTGCTTCAGAATTGATTCCTTGAGGACCTGCTCCATGATTTTTCCGGGGACTGAGGTGAGGCTGACTGGCCTGTAGTTCCCAGGATCCTCCTTCTTCCCTTTTTTAAAGATGGGCACTACATTAGCCTTTTTCCAGTCGTCCGGGACTTCCCCAGATCGCCATGAGTTTTCAAAGATAAATACTAATGGCTCTGCAATCCCATCCGCCAACTACTTTAGCCCTCTTGGATGCAGCGCATCTGGCCCCATGGACTTGTGCTCGTCCAGCTTTTCTAAATAGTGCCGGACCACTTCTTTCTCCACAGAGGGCTGGTCACCTCCTCCCCATGCTGTGCTGCCCAGTGCAGCAGTCTGGGAGCTGACCTTGTTCGTGAAGACAGAGGCAAAAAAAGCATTGAGTACATTAACTTTTTCCACATCCTCTGTCACTAGGTTGCCTCCCTCATTCAGTAAGGGGCCCACACTTTCCTTGACTTTCTTCTTGTTGCTAACATATCTGAAGAAACCCTTCTTGTTACTCTTAACATCTCTTGCTAGCTGCAACTCCAGGTGTGATTTGGCCTTCCTGATTTCACTCCTGCATGCCCAAGCAATATTTATATACTCTTCCCTGGTCATTTGTCCAGTCTTCCACTTCTTGTAAGCTTCTTTTTTGTGTTTAAGATCAGCAAGGATTTCACTGTGAAGCCAAGCTGGTCGCCTGCCATATTTACTATTCTTTCTACACATCGGGATGGTTTGTCCCTGTAACCTCAATAAGGATTCTTTAAAATACAGCCAGCTCTCCTGGACTCCTTTCCCCCTCATGTTATTCTCCCAGGGGATCCTGCCCATCAGTTCCCTGAGGGAGTCAAAGTCTGCTTTTCTGAAGTCCAGGGTCTGTATTCTGCTGCTCTCTGTTCTTCCCTGTGTCAGGATCCTGAACTCTACCATATCATGGTCACTGCCTCTCAGGTTCCCACCCACTTTTGCTTCCCCTACTAATTCTTCCTGGTTTGTGAGCAGCAGGTCAAGAAAAGCTCTGCCCCTAGTTGGTTCCTCCAGCACTTGCAGCAGGAAATTGTCCCCTACACTTTCCAAAAACTTCCTGGATTGTCTGTGCACCGCTGTATTGTTCTCCCAGCAGATATCAGGGTGATTGAAGTCTCCCATGAGAACTAGGGCCTGTGATCTAGTAACTTCCGTGAGTTGCCGGAAGAAAGCGTCGTCCACCTCATCCCCCTGGTCCAGTGGTCTATAGCAGACTCCCACCACGACATCACCCTTGTTGCTCACACTTCTAAACTTAATCCAGACACTTTCAGGTTTTTCTGCAGTTTCATATCGGAGCTCTGAGCAGTCAGACTGCTCCCTTACATACAGTGCAACTCCCCTACCTTTTCTGCACTGCCTGTCCTTCCTGAACAGTTTATATCCATCCATGACAGTACTCCAGTCATGTGAGTTATCCCACCAAGTCTCTGTTATTCCAATCACATCATAATTCCTTGACTGTGCCAGGACTTACAGTTCTCCCTGCTTGTTTCCCAGGCTTCTTGCATTTGTGTATAGGCACTTGAGATAACTTGCTGATCGTCCCTCTTTCTCAGTATGAGGCAGGAGCCCTCCCCTCTCACGCGCTCCTGCTCATGCTTCCTCCTGGTATCCCACTTCCCCACTTACGTCAGGGCTTTGGTCTCCTTCCTCCGGTGAACTTAGTTAAAAGCCATCCTCACTAGGTTAGCCAGCCTGCTTGCGAAGCTGCTCTTCCTTCTCTTCGTTAGGTGGAGCCCGTCTCTGCCTAGCACTCCTCCTTCTTGGAACACCATCCCATGGTCAAAGAATCCAAAGCCTTCTCTCCGACACCACCTGTGTAGCCATTTGTTGACTTCCACGATTCGATGGTCTCTACCCAGGCCTTTTCCTTCCACGGGGAGGATGGACGAGAAAACCATCTGCACCTCAAACTCCTTTATCCTTCTTCCCAGAGCCACGTAGTCTGCAGTGATC